GTGCACCGCGTGCGTGCATGAGGACGCCGCCGGCCCCGTTCCAACCGAACCGGTTGGAACGGGGCGAGAAACCCACCCCTGGTGTGAGGGGATTACTATTCTTCTCTGTTGAAAACCAAACATGCAGCTGACCGGAAGGAATGGATTAATTCAACATTTTCTCCTTGGGAAAATTTGGTTTCCCAAGGAGTTTCTTTCAAACTACAGTTGTAACACCAACCTGTATATTCTGTAGCAGACGCTACTGAAGAAGTAGTTGATGCGTTTTCCCAGTCTTTTTCCCCGTTACGACTACCACAACTTGGAGATAAGAATCCTTCCACGGACTCAGATCTAAAGGAAGACCATAAACAGAAAACACATTGTGCTTAAAATAATGTTTGATTTTTGATACTAAAGCGAAGAACGTATGTGGAAATAGCTAAAGACAAATATAACAGAATAACAGAGTTGGAAGGGGCCTTGGAGACCTTCTAGTCCAGGGGTGTCAAACTCGCGTCGTCATGGTGTCGTCCGTGACGTATCAGAACATTTTTCTCCTTCGCTAAACCGAGCGGGGCCAGCACGTGGCGCATCCAGCTCGCGGGCCGCGAGTTTGACACACACACACACACGTTCTAGTCCAACTCCTGCTCAGGCAGGAAGGCCTATACCATTTCATTTCATCTCTTCTTAAAAACGTCCAGTGTTGGAGCATTCACAACTTCTGGAGGGAAGTTGTTCCACTGATTAATTGTTCTCACTGTCAGAAAAGTTCTCCTTAGTTCTAGGTTGGGTCCACCTTGATTAGTTTCCATCATTGCTTTTCGTCCTGCATTCTGGTGCTTTACAGCAATGGTCTCCAACCTTGGCAACTTGACGACTTGTGGACTTCAACTCCCAGAGTTCCTCAGCCAGCAAGCTTGCTGGCTGAGGAACTCTGGGAGTTGAAGTCCACAAGTCTTAAAGTTGACAAGGTTGGAGACCACTGCTTTAGAGAATAGGTTGACCCCCTTATATTTGTGGCAGCCCCTCCAATATTGGAATACTGCTATCCAAATACTGCTAAATAAATATATAAATATGAGAGATGTCTCTTATATAGCAGAAAAAAGCTCTTCTCCTTGAACCTGCCTGCTGGAATTCCTTAGCAGACAAGAGTCCGTAGCAGCCTCTTCTACTGGCACAAATTGGGTGGGTGAGCACCAATGGGGTCAGATGGACCATGCCATATAGGGCTTTAAAGGTAATAACAGACATCTTGAATTGGGCCCAGAAGCAAACTGGTAACCAATGTAGCTCGTGCATCAGCAGTGTTATACATCCCAGAATTATGTCCGCTGCTGCATTCTACAGCAGCTAAAGCTTCTGAATATTCTTCAGAGGTAGCCCCATTTGGAGTGGATTGCAGTAATCCAACCGAGAGAGGAGTAAGGCCTGAGCAACCACGCACAGGGCCTCACAATCCAGGTAAGGGTGCGCAATAGGCACAACACGAAGTTGAGTAAAGGCCCTCTTATCCACTTGGGCTTTGATTGTGCTATTGTGCACCGGATCGGGTTGGCGTAATGCAACCTCATCCAGAGTTAAAGATAATAAATGATTGGATCCCGAAGTTTTTTGCACCCCACAGCCACTTTGACTGAAGCCTGCCGTTTCCCATCCAGACACCCCCACAGCCTCCAAGTGTTCCTAAAGGGCAGCCACAGCATTTATTGGATCACGAGGGATGGAGATGTGAAGCTGTGTATGATCTGAATACTGATGATATCTCATCCCATGGTGTTGTGGCTCGGTGGGAGCCTTTGGAGCTGCTATCAGACTCTGACACAGAAACCTCCTGTGAGTGGTTTCAGGATGCTCACAGGAGAAGATAACAAGCAGCTGGGGCTCGTTAAGGATCTCCTCCTGCAGATAAAAGACTGATGGTGCCACGCCTTAGTTGCATAAGTCAATGTTCGTTCGTTCATTCCGTGCCTGTTCTAGTCTAGGTTCCCAGTTCGTGTTCATGATTCAGAGAAACCACTTGGATAAGTGATTTGTTTTATATAAACCTGGTTTGCTGTAAGAGTTTGTTTTTGCATTTGCTGTTTAACTTTTTGCCAGAGAATTTATCTATGTTTATTTTGGGCTTGTAGCCAGCTTGAGCCAGGACTGATAAAGACATCCCTTTGCAAGCTGTGTGTGGCTGTCGTTTCTGAACGAGCAAAGAGGGGGGTCAGAACAGAAGGTATCAGGTGATCATGCCAGCAGTTTCATATAGATGTTAAAAAT